TCAGTATCCCAACACAACAACCTCGATTGATGCACTTCCCATTCCTCAAGTTTGGCCAGACAAGGCACTGACAGTTTAGTAGTGCCCCTGCNGCCACCTCCAGCATAGAGCTCACTCTCTCCTTTCTTATCAACAATACCTCCTCCAATGCATCTTCAAAACTGCTCCCCCTCGTCTACCACCTCCTGCACCTCCTCCTCCTCCTCCTCCACCGTCAGATTGGCTCCATTAACAGCACCCTCCTCAACGCCACCTCCAGCATAGAGCTCACTCTCTCCTTTCTTATCAACAATACCTCCTCCAATGCATCTTCAANTGGCTCCATTAACAGCACCCTCCTCAACGCCACCTCCAGCATAGAGCTCACTCTCTCCTTTCTTATCAACAATACCTCCTCCAATGCATCTTCAACACTGTTCCCCCTCCTGTACGACCACCAGCACCTCCTCCTCCTCCTCATCCGCTCTCCCCTGTTTTGAATCCATCCCCCATCAGCTCCGCTTCACTGCACCCTGCTCAACGCCGCGTCATGCAGATTCACCCCCTCCACATCCCCCTCACACACACTCCCTGCTTCATGCCTACGTATGTCCCTCTCTAGCCATGTCAATTCTCCTTTGTCGTTTTCCTAAACCAAAGGTGACATTATACCTTTTCTCTGCAGCCATTTTGCAGCCCCCTAAACGGAGCCCTACCCCCCCCTCCGCGGGACCAAATTCAGGTGCCTCCTCACAAACAGACCACTCAGAACTAAAACGTTTTAGCAAGAGACACAAGATAAACATGAGACACAGCAGAATTTTTTAGAGCTCTGTCACCTGCTGGAGAGGGGGTTACCTTTCCCTGACCTTAAAAGGCAAGGCAGATACCTAAAGACTACTATTCTCTTACCTATACGACGACCTATCATTTCGTTTCTTTGCCGAAAAGATGGATTATGGCTACCTAAGAGGACAATGGTTCAACTGCGTCACAATTAAAAAAAAACGAATCTGCAAGGAAAGGAGTCAGTGGATTCATCCAATCAATCACGTAGTCCCCCCCCCCCCCCCCCCGTCAGATCAGTGAACCCATCAAAATCAGGCCTCGCCCGAAACAATGGGCGGGGAGATACTCACCACCAAACCACCACTTGACTGGATACTATACACAATCACACCTAGTAGTTGTGTGTTGTGCTCAGAAAGTTCAATCAAATCCAGGAAAAAAAAATCCAGATCGAAACTCCAAATTAAAAACGGAATCAAATCAATCACCGTCGTCAAATCCATCCAAATCACCAAACCACTTGTCACTGGATATACACAATCACACCTAGTTAGTTGTGTCTTCCGCTCAGGAAACTTATTTCTCAGTTCAATCAAATCCAATTTAAAAAATCCAGATCACCGTCAAATCCATCCCAATCAGTGGTCCAAAATCAATCCATTCCACAAACATACAACCCACCCGAAAGAAATCCAATCCAAATCCACATCCAATCCAATCCAATCCAATTCAATCGAAAACCCATACGATCCACAATTCAATCCAAAACCGATCCGATCCGGTCCGATCCAATCCAATCCGAAATCCACAGAATCCAATACAATACAGCCTCAAATTAAACTCGATCCGATCCACACAAATCCAAAATCAACCGAAGACTCGACCAATAAGATCCAATCCAAATTGAATTCAACTCTCACTCCAACCCTCTCCAAAATTGACCCAATCCAAGTCCAATCCAATCCCAGAGGAATGCAATCCGATCCAATCCAATCGAATTCAATCCAATCCAGTCTAACATTAATCCAACCCAAACTGATTCAACCTCAATTTAATCAATCCACAACCCTTCCATCCGTCCATCAATCCACACCCATCACCCATCAATCCAATCCAATCCAATCCAATCCAATCCAACCTCAATTTAATCCAATCCAACCTCAATTTAATCCAATCAACAACCCTTCCATCCGTCCATCAATCCAGACCCATCACCAATCAATCCAATCCAATCCAATCCAATCCGATCCAATCCAATCGAATCGAATCCAATCCAATCCAATCCAATCCGAACCGTAATCTCATCCACTCCCCACCGCAGGTCCAATCCAATCAGCAAATAAAATTGAATCCATCAAGAAAACAACTCAATCGACGCCGACTCGCTAAGTCTCCACCATCGAGCTTGCACGAAACTGACTGTGTTCACTGTTCAGTCTGTGTTCCAGTGCCATCGAACCAAACCACCCTACAGCGACTGCGCCTAAATCCAGATCAGTCGAATGTGACCCAATCAAATCATATTTGTCCATTTCAAATTTGATCACGACGTTAAATTTTACATCAGTTCATCATTGGCCAAAGGACGTGAACCCAATCAAGTCAAATTCAGTTCATCAGTCGCTTGCTCGTGCCTACTATCGATCGGTCAATCACTCAGTTCAGCCAAATCGTCAGTTCAATCATATCGTAACCAAATCGAATTTGTTGATACACCCAATTTCTATCAAGTCAAATCGAATTTGATACATCTTCAGTTCATCAGTCGCTTGCTCGTGACAGTCAATCCACTCACTCAGTCTCAATCCATCTGCTCAATCTGTGGTTCGCCTCGCTCGCTGGCTTCAACGATCGGTCGGTTCGTACGTTCCAGCCAGCCAGTACAAGCTGGCCTACAGTCTTCCCCCGAATACAACGCACGGTCATTATAGATGAATTTGGCGTATCTTTCGGTCTAAATTCAGCTATAATGACCGTACGTTGTATTCGGGGGAAGACTGTAGCTCAGTTGCTATATAGCAATGCACTGCTGAAAAAAACACAGACCTGAGTTCGAATCCAGACGATGGGACCGCTTTCATGTATATGAATGAATGTTTTGAATCCAGAAGACCAATCCAGAAAAACGGACCGCTTTGATGTATATGAACGAACGTTCTTAATCCAGAAGACCAATCCAGAAGATGGGACCGCTTTGATGTATGTCAATGAATATTTTGAATCCAGAAGACCTGGGGCCGCTCAGTTCCGCAATATTACAGTATATCAAAGCCTGTCGCCACACCTTTCTTTTTCTTTTTTTTTCTTTTTTTTTTTTTTTATGTGTCGGTCAGCCAGTCGGTCAATGTGTCAGCCAGCATTTGGTGGATCAGTTTGTCAATTGCTCCAGTCGGCAGCCCTATCGCTTGCTCGCTGGCTTTATTGGCCGCCGTCTCTGGCGCGGTCATTTATCCCTTGCTTGCGACAAATCCGAGGGTGAGTGAGTGTGGCACCAGCTTTTTTTTTTTTTTTTTTTGGGCACCAGTGTTGTTTAATCAGAGTCCCCCCGGACAGTCGGGGCAACACTCACACTGGGACTTTTTCGACCCATCTGTGGACACAATTGTGGTCAGATACATCCCGCGTGTGCCGTGGTTTTGGTCAGATGCATTCAAAAGAGATTGCACTGTGTGTGTGTGTGCACGCTCTCAGTCACCAGCATTGCACAGTCGTTTGTTTGCTTGGTCAGTACCACAATCGCTGAATCACATCGTCTATACCAGCTGATCCTGGCCGTGCATCAAGCCATAAGAAATCAGAAATCATATGTAATCCAATCCCGAGTGAAATCAAAACTTAAACACAATCGAATTGTCGAAGCAAGTTATAAAATCCATCCATCGATCCATCCAATGGCATGCAAATTGATGACATCAACGGGAATATGTCGCTTAAAACCAAAGCCAATCCAACCGCATCCCATCAACCAACCCAAGTGAATCACATGAAATGATTCCACTCCAATCCAGTCCAATCCACCCTAATCAATCAATCCAATCCAATCCAATCCAATCCAACAGATGAGCTGAACGTAGTTCTTCCAAATCATCAAAGTACATCTACCCAATGCACACTATGCATCCATCCAGCCACTAAGCCAATCAACAAAATCAATCAAATATATTAAACCGAATGAGATCCGATCTCCAATCAAACCATAACCGATCCATCCAATCAATCCGACCCCACCTCCCATCCTCCCTCCCTCCCTCCTTTTCCCCCTCCGTACAACCAATCTATGCATCTGCCAAGCCACTCAGCCAATCAACAAAATCAATCAGATCATTCAATGTACTAGACAAATCCAATCCTATCCACAATCAAACCCTAACCAATCAATCCAATCCCTCCCTCTCTCCCTCCCTCCCTCCCTCCCTCCCTACATCCATCCAATGCCTCTCTACCTTCATCCATCCATTCTACAATCACTCACTGTGGACTGCCCCAAATGCAATTGGTTCAGCACACAACATCAAAATTGCACTTGGCCGTGTTTTAAAACCATGTGCACGAAAAAGCTTTAACAGGCAACGCATGTGCAGCAAATCTCCCACAGATTCCGTTTCCACTTCGATGTACTTCTGTACGACGTCTGAAGTTACGCGAGGAAAACACCGATGGACAAAAGACTACCTGCGCTGGAATTTTTTGAATTTTTTTATTTTTTATTTTTTTAGTCCGATGGACCACGGATCAGATATCAAACTGATGATCAGAACAGATACTACACTTCATCTTAGCCAAAACGCCGAGAAAGGTATCGATGGACAAAAGACTACCTGCACTGGAATTTTTTATTATTATTATTTTTTTTATTAGTCCGATGGACCACGGATCAGATATCAAACTGATGACCAGAACAGATGCTACACTTCATCTTAGCCAAAAGGCCGAGAAAGGTATACCTGCACTGGAATTGCCCCCGCCCCCATCTCGTCTTCCTCTTTTTTTCACTCGCTCGCACCACCGCTCTGCTCGTTCCAATCGCTCTGTTCTCTCCCTCCTTGCAGGCAACTGCCTTCTGCAAGCAATCAGCAAACGCGGGCACCACAACAGACAATGCACCCACAAGGTGACGACGATGCCCGGAGACCAACCMCCCCCCCCCCCCCTACCCAATTGGGACTCGATTCATCGAGGGGGAAAAAAAAAACAAAAAAAAAACAAAGCTATTGGAAACTTCCAAGCTATCCAGCGAAAACAACTCGGAACTCGTTGTGCTTCTATTCTTTTTTAACCCCTCTATCATTCTGTTATTATTGTCGAAATTGTCGAAGGCGAAAGTTCCACGTCTTCTCGATCGATAAGCTGGACTGCATCCGAGGCTGCTCGTCGGTGCCGCCGCCACCATAGCCGTTGCTTCCCGCCGTTGCGAAAATATTGGTCATTCCCACTCGAAATGCTCCTCCCGCCTCCGATGCTCTCCCCCAGTTGAGTAGCAGAAGATTCGCCTGGCTGTCGTACGTGGCCAACAGCGAATCTCCACCGGCGATGGTGTGGGTCATCATCACCGACCAGGACTTGGTGCCGAAGTCAAAGGACGGCTCGACGATCGTTCCCGACGGAAAAACTCTCGAGAATCGAACCCCCGCCGACTGCTTGGCAAAATCATACTTCACACCCACCGTGTTAACACCACTCTTGTCAATGGCAGTGGACACGTCGACAGCCGTCGTATTTCTGGCGGGAGCGTGATTGAAAAGCCATTTCACAGTTTTCCCGCCAACTGTGGTCGTTGACCGAAACTGAAACCTCGGCGACTTATTACCCACGTCGTAATCGATCGCAAAGGCGAGAGGTTTCTCCACTCCCAAAACCAACCCCGTCACCTGACTCCTCTCCAGAACCCCTTTTACCAACGTCTCGTCGTTAAATGAAGCCTTTAATCTCATGTCTCCTACCCCCATTGCCGCCACTGCCGAAGCCGACTTCGCCCCTGCATCATACCGTGCCGTGACCGTAGAATTCCCCATTCCTTCCTTCGGGAGGAAGAGACCTATCCCTCAAGTTGAAGCTGGCATAAAAGTTGCTGAAAGTTCCTGATCACATTGGAGTGCCACGTAGCACTGTTCCCTCGTGACGACGATTGAGACAATCAGTAGCGCACAGTATCGACGACGTCAACTTCAGGTAAGTATCCCGATCCCACTCAATCATCCACAGATCCCGATCTCCCTCCTTGTCACGACCAATCTCCCAGCGTAGACAACGTCGAAAATGCCACGTCAATGATGAAGACAGGTGGCATGCGCCACATCAGCAACGAAGACAGGTGGCATGCACCGCATCAGCAATGAAGACAGGTGGCATGGGCCGCATCAGCATGGGCTGGCGCTCAGCAGAGAAAGCGCCAGCCTGCTGCCACAGGCCCGCGTCGTCGTCCACGGTGCCAGCGTCCAGCCAGCATCAAGCCAGCGTCAAGTCAGCATCCAACCAGCGTCCAGCCAGCATCAAGCCAGCGTCAAGCCAGCATCCAGCGTCAAGCCAGCGTCAAGCTAGCATCCAGCTAGCGTCCAGCCAGCGTCAAAGCCAGCGTCAAGCCAGCATCCAGCCAGCTTCCAGCCAGCGTCCAAGCAGCATAGCAAGACAGAATGTTGCCCCGCGGAGACTAAGCCTTATGTTAGTGTTTGACTAGGCAGTCTGGCCTCAGGTCTCCCATCCACAGTCGCACAAATTGACTCACAGCCGACGGCCTGGATTGTGTACAGTTGCAGACTTCCACTTGGTCCTGATGCTGTCTGGGTACCTGCATACAAACAAGTGTGTGCGTCTGACTGGGTCCACTTTGACTTTGACTGTTGGGCTTCAGGCAGTTGACTTTGGTCAGCTCTGGCCTGCTCAGGCCCTGAATCTACGTTGGGGTCCTTTTTCCTCCCTTCGGCCTGGGTCTGAGTGTGGCCAGGCGAGGCCCTTAGACATTCCACGAGGCATACGGCATGGGTTATTACCAGCCCAATTTTCGAGTTCCATCGCAGAAACATATCATTTTTATTTTTTTTATTTTTTTAAAAGTGCGATGGCCTTGAGATATCATTGTTGAGCTGACCGGCCCTGAGCATTTCAGAAATATTATGTTTTTACTCGTCATCAAGTTCCATCATCTGGATTCGAACTCAGGTCTGTATTTTATCAATTCATGGGTGTACCTATTGAGCTAGGCTCCTGGGTAACATATCAATTTTCCTTTAACCCATGTTCATATGCAGCAACAATGTCAGGAACAGTAGATAAAAGTTTTTTTTTTGTTGAATCATCTTGCTTCAGTAGGAGGTTGAGACTTGAACTTTACCTTATGTTGCTTCTGTGATCATCCTCTGCCGCCTGTAGAAAAATAGCCATGTTCCAAAATCTTCTCATCTTCATAGTCTCCATTCATGGAGGGGGCAAACATAGATGATCATATGGCAAGAGTTTAGACGCATAAAAGACCGGATAGGTTCTGAGGTGAGGGGGTACATCAATTCGGTAAGAAGGTTCATATGCATCCCCAATCACCTTCAGAACTTCCCAGGGCTCATAATAAACAAGTAGCAGTTTCTGAGATACGCTTTCTTCCAAGGAAAATTCTTTAGATTTTACCTATACCAAATCACTTTCTTGAAACTGCAACGGTCGACGATGTTTGTTGGCCTGCTCAATCATTTGTAGTTGGACTTTCTGTATATTTTCCTTTACCTTTTTAATATCTTCTTCGTATCAAATTGCAAATTCATGAGTGTCTGGCGGTAACCTCTGAATCTGGTCTCAAGTTAAAGCATCAATAGGACGTCGAGGTTTTCAACCTGTATGCAGTGCATTGGGTGTTCTTCCTGTAACAATATCCACACTATTATTATATGCACTAGCAATCTTAGATAAGTTAATATGATCCCAATCTATTTGATTGGGTCGGACATACATGCGCAGGAGTTGTTGGCACAGATGATTCATCTGCTCAGTTTGGTCATTCGTTTCAGGGTGTCTGCTTGACGACATGGTCAACCTGGTACCATAGACTTCCATCAACTTCTGTCATTGTATACTAGTGAATCGAATATCCCTGTCAGAAACAATGGATTTTGGGAACCCATACTCAGAAACCCATCGCATTTGAAACTTCTCGATGACCAACTCAGTTCTAGCTTCGGTAGGTAAAGGAATGAATATAACATATTTTGAGAATCTGTCTACAATGACCATTACCTGACTGTTGTCATTTCGGCTCTTGGTGAGACTCATAAAGTTTATGGAGATAGACCCACCTGACTCACTTGGAATAGGCAGTGGTCTCAATAGTCCCAGAGGATTCTCATACAAGGGTTTGTTTTTCTGACAGACAAGACAAGTATGCACATAGGCTAGTACATCCACTTTCATTCCTTTTCATTCAAAGCATTCTCTTACATCACCATACGTCTTCTTAAAAGCAAACTGTCTTTCAATATCATGACATTCCCCAATGATTAGACTCCTTATTTGTTCTTTATGAGGAATACAAAATTTTTCTTCGGTTTTATCTAGGTAGAAGAGTTAGTCATCAATCATTCGATATTATGGGAATAGTTCAGGGTTCTTTCGTAGGGTCCCAATGAATCAATGATAGGACTCCAAACATGATCACTCTCATATCCCTTTCGGATTTTATATTTTAGTTCAATCCCGATATTAGGGTAGGAGACAATAGTTTCAAAGAAATCAGCATGCTTTGACAAAGCATCCGCAACCACATTGAACTTATTTTTTATTGTTTTCAATTCAAAGTCAAAGGTGTCGATGAAAGCAGACCATCTTACTAACTTATCAGAGAGTCCAGGTTGAGTTTTGATCCACTTCAGAGTATAATGATCTGAGTAGACAGTGAAGTGTCTCCCTAACAAGTAGTGCTTTCATGTGGCTAGTGTAGCAACTAAGGCATACAATTCTCTTTTATAGGTGGAGTTTGTCACTTTCTCTGACGGAAGTTCCTAGACATAAACTCTATAGGCCTATGTCCCTTACCGACATCCTATTCTAGCACAACCCCAATCTCATACTGACTTGCGTCAGTTGTGACAATAAAGGGGAAAAAAAGATTAACACTTTTTAAGACATAGTAGTGCGTCAATAGATGTTTCAACTTCCTGAACGACGACTCACAATCTTTGTTCCACAACGAAGGTTTTTTCTTTTTCAGAAGTTTTATCATAAGAGCAACTATCAAGGAGAAGTTTATGACGAACTTCTTATAATAATCAGTAAGTCATAGAAAATATTTCAACTCATTTATAGTCTTAGGTTGAGGTCAATCTAAAATTGTTGTTATCTTCTTTTCTCCGGGCCTTAGTCCCTCTTCATTCACTATATGCCCCAAGTACAAGACTTCATGCTTAACAAACTCATACTTTTTCGGATTCAGTTTAAAGTTGCCCTCGCGCAACTTTTGTAGAACCATTCGTAGATGTTTCTCCTGGTGTTCTAATGTTTTACTGTACACTATAATATCATCGAGATAGACTACTACGAATTGATCCATCCATTGACGAAACAATTCATTCATTGATCTTTGAAATCATTATGTCGTAAGTGCATTAGTCAAGCCGAAAGGCATAACCACGAAGTCGTAGTTACCTGGTTCAGAAAATTGTCTTGTGTTGATCTTCAAGAGTCATCTCGATCTGATGGTACCCTGACTTGAGATCAATTTTACTGAAGTATCTGCATCCTTGCAACTGGTCCAACGGGTCGTCAATGCGCGGCAGGGTTGTCACGCGGGGATCTCAGGGGCCCAAGCCGGGGTAGGGGTTTCACCCCCGGACCCCCGCCGCGGGGC